GGCCTCGGGCGAGGCCGGCAGCGCTTTCCGTGTGGGAAATGCTCCCTCTCCTCTCCTCCTTTTACTCTCTCTGGTGCAAGCGACGGGCACAGGCGTTGGTGGCACAGGCGTTGGTGGCAGAGGCGTTGGTGGCACAGGCTTTGGGTCTCAGCACTTCTCCCCGCCGCGCCGCTGCCGGGGGCCGAGCTTGGTGCTCGCAGCGCGTCCGAGCGCCTTGTGCTGCGGCAGAGTGGGGAATGTGCTCGTTGCGTGCCAAGGAGTGTTACTCCGGAGTTTTCTCGTGCGTGGTTGTGAGCTGCGGGTCCAAAATGTCGATTTTGTCAGACTGCGCTAACACCGTAATGACGAGAAACCAGAAATAGCCCGGCAATTATCCTCAGAATAATTATATAATCTGCTTTACAAACTACAGAATTGCTTCACAAAGGAGCGATGCTCTTTTTTCCCCCCTGAAAGCAGCTGATTTGTTGTGCTTTTTGGGCAGTTTAGTGTAATGCCCATGGGGTAGCAAAACAGTGCTAGTCTGTTCCACTCATTTTGCTGTTGGGTTTCTTACCTTGTAGGAAGGAATGCAGGTTTGTTCACGACTTCTACTCGGGCCACAATCTCCGTGTTCTAAAACAATATGGACTTGAGTATTTCAAGGGCGATGAAATTTGCCTGCTTCTGCTTCAAAATGAGCCTTCCCTCTTGCCAGAGGTGAGTAGCACTGGGACAGTTTCTTAGCCTTGTGTTTCAGTGAGCATCACAACATGTAAGAGGCTTGATACAAGATGGAGATGTGAGGTGTCAGTTTAGCATCATGCAAATCCAAAACTTTAAATCTGCGTCTGCTGTTCCTTCTCTGTGGTCAGTTGACCCTAGCTGGCAGCTAAGCACTTGCAGCCCCTCAGAGAGGTGAGAGAGAACAAGAAGAAAAGTGACCAAAACTTGGGGATGGAGATAAAGACAGTTTAGCAAGTGGAGAAAAGAGGAGAGAAAACAAGTGTTGCAAAGAAAGTTAGTCAGCACCTCCAAGCAGACTGATGGCCAGCAACTCTCGGAGTGAGGGCCAGCTTGAAAGAATGACCCACCTCCTCTTCCTTCTCCTTTCACCCCTTCACTTCGGGTTTTTTTGAGCATGACATTATATGCATGGAATATCCCTTTGGCCAGTTGGGACTGTGTCCTAGTTTTGGCTGGGATAGAGTTAATTTTCTTCCTAGTAGCTGGCACAGTGCTGTGTTTTGGATTCAGGATGAGAGTAATGTTGATAACGCACTGTGCTGAGCAGTGATTGCACTAACTCAAGGACTTTTCAGCTCTTTGTCCTGCCCTGCCAGCCTGCAGGCTGGGAGTACACAAGAAGCTGGGAGGGGATGTAGCCAGGACAGCTGACCCAGCCTGGCCAGGAGGATATTCCATACCATATGAGCAGTAAACCGGGGGGCAGCTGGCCAGGAGGTGGGGGCATGCTGCCTGGGCACTGGCTGGACGTTGGCCAGGGGGTGGTGAGCACTGTGCATTACTTGTTTTGTCCATTCTTTCATCATCATTATTATTTCCCAGTAAACTGTGTTTGTCTCAACCCCATGAGTTTTACCTTTTTTTCTGATTCTCCTCCTGGTCCCCTGCGGGGCAGTGAGTGAACAGCTGTGTGCTGTTTAGCTGTGTCCTGGTTTCTGCTGGGATAGAATTAATTTTCTTTCTAGTAGCTGGTACAGTTGTGTTGGGGATTTTATATGAAAACACTGTTGATAATACACCCATGTTTTGGTTGTTGCCAAGCAGTGCTTAGTGTCAGTAAAGGACTTTCCAGCTCCTGTGCTCTGCCAGTGAGGAGGTGCACAAGAAGCTGAGAGGGACCGTGATGAGGACAGCTGACCTGAACTGGCCAAAGGGATATTCCATGCCATAGACTGTTTTGTTCAGTAAATAAATGGCAGGGGCCTGGCTGGGAGCTGCTAATCAGTACTCAGGGGTGGGTGGCATCAGGCAGTGGGTGGTGAGCCTTATGAGTATTATGCATCCCTTGTGTCTCTTGGGCTTTATTCCTCTCTATCTCTCTCCTTTTCTTTGTTACTACTACTACTGTTACTGTTACTGCTGTTAATACTATTGTATTTTACTTTATTATAGTTACTAAACTGTTTTTATCTTAACCCGTAAGTTATACCTTTTCTTCAATTCTCCTTTCCATTCTGCCAGGGAGAAGTCTGGGGAACGGGGAGTGAGTGAGCTGTGGTTAAACCACAACAAGCTGCCTGCCAGACTAGCTGTCCCAGCTGTGTTTTCTCTCTGCTTCCTGCCCACCCTCAGCCTCCTCAGGACTGGGGGGTCAGAGTGGAGGAAGAGAGAAAGCCTGGACACTCTGAACGCACTGCTCAACAGTACCTGAAACATTGGTGTGTTGTCAACACTCTCCTGGTTACCACCCCAAACCATACCATGGTATGGGCTGCGGTGAAGAAAGCAAACTGCATCCCAGCCAGATCCAGTACCTCTTACCATCAAATCCAGGTCGAAAAAGTTCACTATTCCAGAACTAGAAAATAAAGAGATCAGGTAGTGGCACAGTAACATCCACTTTCCTACATTTATATGACTTAGTGGAGTCATCCCCACCTGCTTGAGAATGAGTCACCCCATCTGCTTGAGAATGTCTGTAAGAAGGTTATGTATCTTCCTAAACATCAGCAGGGCAAAGGAAAACACCACTGAGTGATCATTTGTAAAACAAGGAGAAAGAAGAAATGTGTCTTTTAAAAGCAAATGTATCCCCATAGCTGTAGAATTTCACAAATTTGAACAGTCTATATGTCCACATTGTACTTAAATGCTTTTTTTCTTTCTCTACCCAAGGTCTGCTTGCATTATAACAAAGGTGATGGACCTTATGGATCTTGTACCTTTGAGAAGATCTGCACCAAACTGCACATTTGTCAGTACTTTTTGCAGGGGCAGTGCAGGTTTGGCAGTAGCTGCAAGCGATCCCATAACTTAATGAAGTCAGAATGTTACGAGAAACTGGAGAGACAGGGAATGAGCTTAGACATTATTGAGAAACTACCTTCCATTTATAGAAACATGTATGACATCAAAAATAGCAACAGGAGCATGGATGACATAGAAGATGCCAAGTCTTCACTGTGCAGAGGTAAATGATACCATCTTTTGGGCACATCAGAAGAGTTACTGGGGTGTAACATTCTCAGAGGCATCATCAGGAACACTGAATCACATCGTGATGTGTCTTTTTGGAGGGACCTTGTACCAATCTCATTTGGGGTTAGAAAAACGTAACAGGCTCTGGAAATAGGAGGGTCTATAATTTTTTTCTCAGTACAAAACATAGAGAAGGGTGAGAAGGGTTTAAGAATAGGACTGGTGTTTACTTGTATGATTCTAATATACTTCTTTATTCTTTAGTGTAGCAATTGTCTAGCACAAGATTTCACAGACAGCACTACCCTAGTCCCTTCTTAGACATATAATATTTTGTTTGTTCTTTTCTTTTGAAGTTCCTTGGAATTGTAAGTTAAGTATAATTTAGTAGGAAAGAAAAGGGTTACAGAATGGAAAATCCAAGTGTGTTTGTTCATCTCCACTGTACTGCCTCAGTTCCTTCTTCCCTGTTTTGTCTCCTTAGATGTGCTTTAATTTACAAAAGTATCAAGTTTTAAAAGTTCAGATTTTATAGCTGCCATTGTGCTCAGCTGTGTGGGGTGCTCGGTTAAGTCCACTTAGAAATGTAAAAGCATTGGTTTTTGTTCTGGTTTTGTGGTGACAGCTAACCCTGTACGTGAGGGATTTAGTAGTTACAGGAAAGCCAAGTACAGAAAGGGTGGACAAAGGGATGAGACTTTGAGTACACAAGGTCATCAGGGGCTTCAGGGTCCTTCTGGAGCTGCATGCAGTTAGTAGTGGTAAACACTGGTTTTAGGCATCTTCCCTCCCAACACCTGCACTTTTAAGAGGGTTTGTTGATGTATATTGATAATTTGTATTGATATATATTTGTATATTGATAAGGCTTGTAATTCCCCCACTCCAGAGAGAAAATACAGCTCCAGCCAAGAGTCCTCAGCTACAAATGATGGTGAATCGGAGCAGATCTGTTTATATCACCTGTACAAAAGTTGTGGCTTTAAAGGTAGGTTGTATCAAGTATAGTATAGACTCTATCAAAGTCCACTCTCTTTTCTCACGAAGAGAAAGTGGTGGACATATTTCACAGAAAGGGTGAACTCTAGAGTTTATGCTTATTTTCAGTTAAATCTCACTGTAATCTTGAGTGCTGTTTGACCTATGTGGTATACCAAACAAAGGACCTGTTTTGTCTTACTCTGGAATGTGTATTACCTGCCTGTGTTAGGGATTGGCTACTCCACCCGTGTTTACTTAAGCGATTCTGAAGATAGGAGTCACATTTCCAGATAGAAAAGATACAAAAGATACTCGGAATTCTACATTCTCCCTTGTTTGTTCTAGTACTCTTCTGTTCTGTATGTCTGAGCTGTCTCCCTTTTACCTACAAAAATAATGTAGCAGATACAGAAACTGAACTCCTACCTAAGCCCAAAAATTAAGTGTTGCTTGCTTATGGTGAAAAATTCTGCACTACTGCTTGTAATGATTCCACTGGTGAACCCTTTCCATAACTATGCTTTTGATGGTAGTGGAGTTTTCTCATGGGTCGTAAAAATAATGCATCTCTTACTTCTTCTTTTAAACTTTTCACAGAAAAGTGCATCAGGACTCATTTTCATTTGCCATATAGATGGCAGATCTCTGATGGCAATAGCTGGAAGGACTTGCAGAATATGGAAGAAATAGAAAAAGCATATTGTGACCCCAGTAAGACCAGGTATAAACTCTTACAAAATGTAATCATGTTTGGAGTTTGCTGTATTGAACCAGGCCCTTAGTGGCTATAAATTGCTGATTCTATTGCAGTCATCACATAAGTAGCTTCATTCAGTGTTCTAGTGACCTCACTTTCCTGATATACTGTTGCCAGAGATGTGATTCATTGTGACTGACTCACACCTAGTGTTCACCTAGGACGCTTTGGATTACCATTCTGGGTTTAGCTAGGATGGAGTTTCTCTCTTCATAGCAGCCCGTAGCCCATGCTGTGTTCTGGATTTGTGACTAAGACTTTGCTGAGAGTTGCTGAGCCGTGCTTGCCTAGAGTCAAGGCTTTTTCTTCTGCCCACTCTGCTCTGCTGCTCCACAGGGGTTGGGTTGGAGCCAGGCAAGGGGTTGGGAGAAGATCTGCTGGGTTAGCTGAATTGAACAGAATCTCTCTTTGGTTAGAGCTTGTCAATACACAGTTTGACCTCATGATGAGAAGTAACTTTCTTTTTCACCACTTAGGCTGGAGGATGGAAAGGTAGCATGAGATTTGCCCCTCCTTCCCTCTTTTCTCTCAGGTCATACTTATGAAACTGGCAGAATACCTTGTGTACCTGGAGAGAGAGAGAATCTTGGGTGCAGAGAACATTAAGAATATACCTTTAAGAGTTTGGAGCTGGTAAACTAGCACCAAGAGGGTGTTGGAAGGGTCTAATCCCAGTATGGTGTGTCCCATGCTGGAGAATTTACCTATCCCTCTCACGTTACATTGGAGGCTCTTTGAAGCCCAACTTAAGTCTTCTTAGTGTTCTGCTTAGAATATAGTTGGTTAGCAAGAAGGCAGTATATGTTTTCCACTTTTTTTATTCATCTGATGTCACTCATTTATGAGTGGATAATGGTTACTGCCAATGGAACCAGTGTGAGATATAATACTGTAAAGCAAAATATGTACAAACACAAGGCAGAGCTGGGATTGCTGTGGGAAGTGCAGGTTTGTGTCCTGCTTTTGAGTGATGCTGACTTCATTCACCTATTTGTGATGGGTTTCTGAGCCTTTGAGTAGAGCTTCACAAATAGTTCTGATTTTTTTTCTCCTCTTTCTTTACAGATTTAATAGTGTTGTTGCTGAAAGTGGGTTTGTCTTTTCATGTATCTGTTTCCTGAATATGTGCTGTGGGTTTGCAAAGGTCAGACGTCTGTCTACAGCCTCCTCCGTGACCAAACCCCCTCACTTTATTCTGACAACAGAATGGATCTGGTACTGGAAAGATAATTATGGCACATGGCAGGAGTATGGGCAAAAAGTAAGTGTGGGAAAATGGAGAGACTCTCAGGTCTGGGTTAGAAGTGCAGAACTGCTGAAGAGTGCACAGTGTTTACAGCCTCACCCTCTCCCTTTCTCCCTGTCGCTCACACTGTACAGATAGACTTTGAAGGACTAATGGAATCTTTTCCTTGTGAATTTGATTGGTTCAGGTAGGGGAGTGATCACTGCTGAGTCACAAAGGTTATTGACAGATAACTCTTTCAGGGAGACATGTCAGATAGGATCACACTAGTACATTTGTTAATTGCTTCTGTCTAACTCTGCTTTCTCTGAGGTTCCAGTGGGATTCTGTGCTGATTTTGGCTGGCATAGAGTTAATTTTCTCCCTAGTAGCTGATACAGTGCTGCGTTTTGGATTTAGGATGAGGGCAGTGTTGATCACACACTGATGTTTTAGTTGTTGCTAAGTAGTGTTTACTCTAAATCAAGGACTGCTCAGCTTTCCATGCTCTGCCAGTGGGGAAACTGGGAGGACAGGTGACCGAAAGTGGCCGAAAGGGATATTCCATGTCACAAAATGTCATGCTTAGTACATAACCTGTGGGGAGTTGGATGAAAGTGCTGATCACTGCTCAGGGCATTGATCAGTGAGCAATTGTATTGTGCCTCACTTGTCTTTCTTGGGTTTTATTCCTCCCTTTTTGTTGGAGAATGGCGGGACATGATCCTGGGTATGCACTTGGGGAAGGCTAAAAAGAGCAAGGACACAGTCCCCTGGGAACGCACCTGGGAATGCAGTGTACAAGGAAGGCTCTGGAGATAGTAACTTATATATAGATAGGGAGTAACTCAGCTGGGCAGATGGCAGGGGTAAGTTGTCCTTGAGGGTGAGACAAACAAGTTTGAGACAAACAGCTAGGAATGCAGCCGAGCCTGAGAAAGTATGAGATAATACACACAGCTGTGGCTGCAAGCAGGGAGAGTGCCTGAATTCTATCTTTAGAGTTTAGCCAATTAGAAATGATTGATAGTTGTATGCCTGTCCTGCACTGTGTAAGAAAGAGCCTGTCGGACAATAAAGTGGAGCTTGCTTTATCACCCACACGGAGTCGGCCGCTTGCTTCCCCTCGCGGAACCTTCATCTTTCCCAACACCTTTTTCCTCTTCTTTACAGTTATTATTATGAGTACTATTAATATATCTTACTTTATTTCAATTATTAAGCTGATTTTCTCTCAGTCCATTGTTTTTACCTTTTTGATTCTCCTCCTATCCCACCAGGGTGTGGGGATGGTAGTGAGTGATGGCTGCTTGGGACTTGGTCGCTGGCTAGGGTTGAACCACAACACAGAAGCAGCAGCAGCAGTGTTCAGTGTGCCCTTTGCAGTGTGAGTTTAGGCTTCCTAACAGTGCTTGGTTTGTTTTAGAAGCAGCTGCAACTGCTTAATACGTGGCTTTTGTCTGATGACTACTGTCGTTCCCAAAAGCTGCCACCACACCACGTGAGAACTGTTGGGTTTTAAACTTCATTGCATAGAACAGAAACTTTTTTGTCTGGTTTGGCCTGACAGGATGATCTTCATGCAGCTGCCACTGTCTCCAGTGATGACCTGGAGAAAGCTTATATAGCCAAAGGTTCTTCAAAGCTGAACTTCAAAGCTGGAAGATATGAATATGAACTAGATTTTGGAGGTAGGTTCCATTTGCTTTGTTCTTTTGTTTTGTTCTTCCTTCCCAGGTCTCTTGTGGTTTTAAACTGTTTTCTTACAGGAGATAGGAGAGAGAAATCAGCACTTTGAACTGCAGTGCTTACAGAGGCAGAGTTTTTATCAAAGTTCTCAGGATAAGAACTGTTCACATAAGCAAAGTGGCATTCCTACTCCTTCAAACCTTGCATTTTTGAGACATTCTTGCGCTAGGTTCTAAAGTGTCTGCCAAAAAGTCCAAGTATGACACTGCTATTGATGCTAGCACCAATACAAAGGGCAAAGAACTTTTGGAAGATGTACCAAGAGAGCTTCTGGTCTGCTTTGATCACTGGTCTGCAGAAAAACTCAATCTCTGGCAGCATGTACGCTCCAGACAATCCTTAGCATTGCAGGATTGATGCAGATACTTTCTTTTCATCCTCTCTGGAAAGGTTGAGACTATGTCAGACAGGAAGATGTGTTTCCCAAGAGTTCAGGCAGTGCAAGCCACTGGTGGTGGCACTGCCATTCCTGAGCCGTTGCCTTTCCAGGTATCCTTTTCAAACATGATGGGGAACAGTGATGGGAATCATCCTTCCCTGTCTGTCATTTTGGTGTGGTTGCCTTTGATCCAATGGTCCATTATTATCCGATTATGCTTGAAAAAACCCCAAAACCCAAGCAGAAAGGGCATAGGATGTGCTGTTTGTGATTCAGTTGAAAACAATGCTGGGGAAACTTGTCTGCCTTAGAAGGGAAAATTGTGTAGCAATTCAATACCTTTTCTGAGGTTTGGGCTGTTTTAATGACTTAAGAACACACATGCAATGTGGATGTCTTCCAGAACTTAGTTTATAGGTTTGGTGATGCCCAGAGGTTGTTTGCCTATTTGTTTTCCTGTGTATCCCTCCCTGCAGGTGAGGCCTAATTGTCCTGGGTCCTACTGATTCTTAGCTGTTAGTATGATGTCTCAGTAGCTGCAGAGGCTCCAAGATTCAGAAGAAATGCCTCTAAAATTCAGGTTGCCAATCAACTCTTGATTCTGGTGCCAATGAATAAAAATGAATGGCCTGTTAGGTTCTGTTTGTAGGGTTTGAAATCTCTAACTCAGTGTAGGAAAACAGTATCCTGCTTGCAAGCTGAGGAGGAGGGATGCTATCCGTGGTGCAGAAGTAGGTACTGATTTTAAAATGAACCTTTTTGGTTAAGTGTGGCTGATGGAATAATGACAAGAAAATAGCTGCCAGTGTCTGTCATTCCTTACAAAGTTAAGAGCAAGAGTAGAAAAAAATAAACACAGCTCAGTGTCTTTTTGTCAGTGTTTTTGACAAAACAACTTAGTGGCAAATGTTGCCCTGTGTGAAGACTTTCTAAAACATCTTTCTGATGTTCAAGGGCTTTTGTTTGTTTGTTTGTTTTTTCCCAGCCATGATTCAGAAAAATCTTCACAGCACAACAGAGAGACAGATTTGCAGAAGACCTAAATTTGTCTCTCCGAAAGAGGTAGAAGATACAAAAGCCAGGTAAACTGCAACTGCTTACTGTGAGGGGATGGATTTAGTACAATGCAGTACCTTCCATGGATGTAAATTAGAGGAACAAGTAGCTGTTAAGGCAATTGTGAAAGACATTGACAGGGAAAGGGACATCTCCTTCCTACAACAGTGCCTAGCCAGGGCAGTACTGCAGCCTGGCCAACAGTTTTCAAGCAACTTGGGAACCTTGGGGATGAAGAAAGTATGGGCTTGGCCACAGAAAGTGTGGAAAGGTAGGAAATAATTTGATATGTAGCAATTTTATAGAGAGTGCTGCTGAGAAGAGTTGATTGGGATGGAAGCAGTGACATTTATGCACACTGGCTCTTCTCTGATGAGTAGTGTTCAAAGCTAAGTGCAAGCTTAGAAATGATTCTTTTGAGAGTAAGCAGACAATCCTGAGAGGAAAGTAGTAGTTATTACAGGTGGAGAAAAGGTGGGAGTCTGCAGGGAGATGGAATTGCAGGTAACAGCGAAATTCTGCACATTACCCTGCAGCACACGGTGCTTGCTGAAGCACCACCAAAAAGAGCAGCTAAACACACTAGTTAAAGTGTGAGGGAAGTGAGGGGGGGGCTGTATCCATCCTGTGTGTCATGCTGAGGTGAGACTGGATGCATCTTTATTTATTGACCCCAGTGTAGCAGAGCTTCTAGGTATACATTCAGCTCTGCAACTAAGATAACTACTTGCATGTTTAGTCCAGTGTATTTCTGGGTGTTTTTTTCTAATTTGGCATCTTCCTTCCTGCCGTAAGTCTTGACATGATGATTTGGAACAGATATTTTCATGTACTGACCTGAAATGACAGTTTTGAGGTATTTCTGACCATGTTCAGTTGCCTTTATTCTCCCTAAGCTTGACAAAGGTGTTTAGTGTCATATGTACATGAAATGTGTTCTGTTTTATTTTCATTACCTGTTTGTAATGCCTTGTAATCTGTAGGGGCTTTAAACACACAGAAGAGTTTAAGGGGATTCCAGCTCACTGGGACAAATCTGCCCTGCCTGAACTGGGATTCAAGGTTTGGAGGTTTTTGGTTTTTCATTTCTTTTTCTTTCCATCTGTTTTGTCACTTGAGTTGAGTGTCTCATATGCCTTTGTCAAAGGCATATTGTGTTCTTATGTAACATAACGCAGAGGTGTCGGTAGATTTGAGCCAGATATCACACTGGGCAGACCTAGAGGTGAAACTGGGCCGAAACAGAGACAAATGGTGGCACTGTAACTGTGACAACATTGACACTCACTGTGACGATTTGTTCCTTGCCTTGGCAAATCTGCCTGAAGCTTTTGCTGTTCTAAGAAGTCTGTTAGTGGTGCCCAAAACACAGCGCTGAGCACCAGAGGTCACTCCTGCTTCTGACCTTCAGGGCAGCCATCCCTGAGCTGTGTGTACATAGACTGTTGTGCATCTGTGGAGAATTGCTGAGGTCAGGAGAGTTCACAGCACTGCAGAGAGTCACAGAATGGGAGGGCAGTATCTCTGGAGATCATCGAGGCCAAATCCTGCTGGAGCAGGTTCACCTGGAGCAGGTTGCACAGGACTGTGTCCAGGGGTGTTTGAGTATCTCCAGAGAAGGAGCCTCCACAACCTGCCTGGGCAGCCTGCTCAAGCTGGGATTGTTTATTAATACGTACCATAACTCCAGTTAGTATCTGCATGGTACTTCTCTGACTTCCTGCCTGCTTCCTCACCATGACAGCTCTAGTGACTAGACCTGCAGAAAAGATCTTAGCTGATACTTGAAAATTACTTACTTGCAAAATGCCAATCCTCAAGAAATTGTCAGTGAAAAGTAGGCAAGGCCAATGTTGACATTTTTTATGTTCCTAGGGAAAATGTGCAAGTAAACTTCACTTGCTTTCAGATCTGTCATGTGAGGAACTGATTTTTGGTAGTGTGACCATACTCTCCCCTTAAAATATTTGTTCAGACTTTTCTATTTCTTTGGAAGCACATTAGGCAATGCAGTGTTCACTGGCTGTAGGGAGTGTAAAGCAAGCAAAAAGTTACTCTGTGATTTGCTGCAACATCAATTCTCTGCTCCTTTTTTATTTATGTGCTCATTTCTGCGATGACATTAGGTACAGTTTGATATATGCACGCAAAATTTATCTTGGCTCAAGTACTAAGAAGGGTTGAGGGCACATCAGATCTATGATGTCCTCTGAGAGAGCAACCTGGGTGCCATGAACAGCAGTTCACATTGCCTGGGTCAGAGCTCACTTTTGTGGAGCAGGGATCTTTAATCTGCATTTTTTCCAAGATTGTTGTTGCTCATACCTCTGCTTCACAGAAAAGGCTTTAAAGGTCTGAGTAGTGTACTGGGTAGGGGTGGCTTCATTATGGTTTAGTGAAAGATGAGAGTAAAATTGAGTTCTGTAAGCTTTTCCTTACAGCTGATCGAGCTTGACAGTTCTTCTGAAGAATACCAGAAAGTCAAAGTGGACTTCCAACACACAATGCCCAGAACAGCAATCAAAAGGATCTGCAGAGTCCAGAACCCATCTCTCTGGGAGCTCTATCAGTGGTATGTTGAAGATACTGGTCTGGTTTGTATGCATGGAGTTTGTTGGTTCTGCACTTAGCAGACACAGGCATTTCTGAATTGCTTCTTCCACTCCCCCACTGCAATACCTAGCCAGGATCAACGTGTACATAAAGAGGTATCCACAAAGCCAAAAGTCAGTCAAGGCATGGAGCTTGGAATAGTCATATGAGTTCTGTGGGAGGAATCCTCCTTGCTGCTGAGTGAGTGGTTCTGTGTCCAGAACAGTTGCCTTCCAGTGGAAGTCATGAAGTTGGTGATCAGTCACATCTAGCACAAACACGGGTTTGTACATGCTCAAAATGGAAACAGGCTTCAAAATTAAATGCAAAACTCACGGAGGGAAGGCCTTAACATGAACTCCTGTGTCTGGGGGGAAAAATAATGCCAAGATCTCCTCTTCTTCCCACAGGCAGTAAATGAAACAAAACTTCTAGTGAGAAGTATGTGGAGGCATTTGTGTATAAGGAAAGCATCTTTGTGTGCAGGTAGACAGCAAGATACCCTGTATGTGTGCCCAAAGTCGAGGCCCTAACATACAGATTTTCAGAATGTACTCTGTGTAAAATCACCTCTGAGTGCTGATATGGCTGGAACCATGTGCTGGTTTGAAAGCAAACCAATGAGAGACTCCAAGTCAGAAATACAATTTAATAGGAAAAACAGAACAATAAATGCAACAGTACAAAAAGAAACCACTGACAGAGTCAGAAAGCA